GTGCGTGTGCGTGTGTGTGTGGGTGTGTGCTTGCTAATGCTGGTTGGAGCCAGCGGCAGGGCACTGCACCTTTCAGGAAATAACGCAAGGAGAAAGAAAAAAAAAAAAACATACTTATTAGTCCTGTTTTCCACCAAGAGCTCATTTAAAAGTCTGAAATAAATTTAGAGAGAAAACATTAGATGGCCTTATAATTTCTGCTTGGATTTAAATGCCTTTGCTGGCCAACATGTAGCTGTGATATTAGCCTGCGTTGTTTTTCACTGTAAGAGCATTTTGTTGCTTTTTAACCAAACCCTTGATATAAATGTATGAATTCAGGGCGCGACCAAAATGAGTTACAGGAACGTATATGGCTGCTAATGTAAGCACATTACTCACCATATGCAATCAACACACTGTTTTTCTTTGAAATATTCAAGCTTTATAACACGTATATCTACCTATTAGATGAGAATATATGCAGATGATGTTTTTCAAAAGACCATATGGAAGTTTGATTTCCTGCGATTTCTCAAGAGGGTCAGTAAATTTAGTGTGAGCCAAGATTACAGTATATCCAGTAGTTCACTAAATTTCAGCCATGCTAAATGACATTGACTGCCACTCAAGTCTCTACTTGAAATTTGGTAGCCAGTGAAAATTATGTGAATATTCACTAAAGCTAACATCTTGATATTTATCGACTTAAAAACACTTTAATATTGCCCATTATATCAAATTTCCGTCAAATTCAACTTCATTGTATTTAAAAAAAGGACACAGTAACAGAAAGGTTATAATGTCAGTTGTTTAACTGTACATTGTAAACATTTAAACATAATGTGTCTGCCCATTGGCCTGAACAGTGGAGCATGAAGAGAAACCTTGCTGTTACTATACCTGTATTATGGAACTTTCCACACATTTTCAACATTAAGTGAAGTGAATGGTGCTAAAGACACTCTTGGGTACTGGCAAGAAGTCAGTATGGCTGTTTTATAATATGTTATGTAACTATAGTGATCACCTGCACTACTGTTTGCCCTTTGTGTTTCAGTCGCTGTATCAAACTTGAAGTAATTAATTACAGAAATAATTCACCATTATCAGTTCAAGTTCAACTTCTAGTGTTATTCTCACTATTTATTGTAGAGTCCATGTATTATATGAATGTGAATGAATGAGGGTATTTATGTGTTTATGAGGAGTGTTTCTGACCATTTTAATTGTCTGTCTAGATTGTGTAAGAAGTTGGTCAGTGTGTATCTGTATGTATTTGTGTCTTTTTTTGCGTGTAAATGTGAAGCCCAGATATATTTCTTGGCTGCCTGACTGTCAGACAGAAAGCGTGGGAGGTGATATTCATAGAGGTGCTTTTAGTGGGACTTTTTTTTATGAGAGACTTTTTTCCATGGCTGAAAAGGAGGTTGACCACACACAGTAAGGTTGCCTCAGCTCTGTGCACATGCGTGTGTGTTTGTGCGTGCACATTCGAGCCTGAGTGCTCAGGCGCCCTTCCTTTGAGCGCTCCTACGTGGGCTGCCAGGGGTGTGTTTTGCTCCGTGTTTTGTTTCGGAGAGCCCTCCCCCGTGCTGCGGAAGTGTTGCCGGAAGCAGTGGGAGCTCACCCCCAGTTCTGCGTCAGTGCCACTAAAGAAAGGATCGGGGCTTTCCGGGAGGAGAGAAGAGGCTGGAGGGGGGTGGGGGGAGTGACGGGGGCTGTCAGCCTGGGTATGTCACGGCCATGTGGGTGGTTGTCTACACGCTCATACACACACACACTCATACACAGCCTCAGTCACGACTGGTCTTAGACAAACTATTCCTGTATACGCTATATTGCTGGCATGCTCCAAGTAAAATCCCCTGCTTTGGAGGGGAATTCTAAGGAACAGGAACAGGTGTGTGTGTGTGTGTGCGCTTTCGTGTGTGTAGGTGGTGAAGTGAAGTGCGCATGTGCAGTTGTGTGTTTTCCTGGATGATGTGAAGACGGCAGTAAAGAGAGTTGGAGGTTGAGAATTTGTATTTAGCAGATGTGTGTGTCTGACAGATGTAACTGGTTGCATCCATGGAAAACTGTTGTTTTGACGTGATGTTTAGCTCTCATTTCTGCCCCTTTGGAGCTCCAGCACTAACTTCCTACAGCCTAGACCTTGTGTGGAAGTAGCAGAAGTATCAGAAAGTGATCCACTGTCCTCAAACGCTGGTGCAGAACTTGTAGAAAGCTCCGACAGGAAAGAAGAAAGGAAGAAAAAACCTCTTTTCTGGCAAGGCATGATAAAAAAAAAAAAGAGAAAGGAGAGAAATGTGCAGAACTCTGTGGCCTGCTCATCCTGGGGGATGTTTTCATCTTTCTCTGTCTCCCTCCCCCCCCAACTCTTTTTAATGTCTGCCATTTGAGAGACTCCAGAGGGGCTGCACCTGTTTGCCTCTTGGCTAGGAGCCCCCAAATCCCTCCTCCTGCCCCCGCCTGCCACTCATGCTGCCGCACCTCCTGGGATGGAAGGAGCGAGGGAAGGAGGGAGCGGGGAGGAGTGGTGGAGAGCGGGGTTGCATGTGGTGGAAGGGATAGCTGGAGGGCTTGAAGGCGTCCGGGAGTAAGAGCAGAGATGTAGGCACAGAGAGAGAGAGGGGGGAATATAGTTTCAAATCCAAGTCCACTCCACACCGGACAGACCTTACTTCTGTGGAGCTTTCTCTCTCTCATGTTTTGACTCCCCACATTCTCTTTCATTTCTGTATTTTCTCTCACCTTTTCTCTCTCCTGTACAAACCCACATCCGCTCTCCCTCTCTCCCCTGTTAACTTTTCTCCTCAGCCTACCCTTCCCTTGCTCTTCTCCAATTACCTCCCCCGGCTCAGTCTTTTCTACTCTCTCCATCTCTCTCTCTCTCCCCTCCCATCTCTACACCTCCTTTCTCTCCCCTATCCACCCCCTCCTTCCTTCTCTATGTGATAGGACCATGTTAATCTGCAGTGACCTCTTCAGGTCACATTAAAGGTCGCCCAGCTTTACTTCCTAATGCCCCTAGGGCCACAATCTCCTTTTTATCCCTTCTTTTCTCCGCTTACTCCTGGCAGCTTTTGGGCAAAATAAACAATTCAATTAACCCGCCAACTTTTCTCCCCATCAGTTTGGTTTAGGAGTAGAAAAGTATAGTAAACGTGACTTCTGTGTTTGGTACTAGGAAAGAAAACCCCCTTATTTCAAAAGGATGTTACTCCAATACTGCAGACGTACCCAGTTGACTGAACAGAGTACTTGAGGATTTGTTCATTATTCCTTTATAATTTATTCACAAAGAGTGCACGACTTTATGATATCTGGCTGTCAGTCTTACAGATTATATTCAGTGGTTTCAATGTAGCTCATGGGTTTCTTTCGTTGCAGTTGAACTGTTTTTTACTCTGGAAGCATGATTGTATGTTCTGATGTCTAAAACAATATTTTGTGTTCAATGATTTAATGCAGTGGGTTCAAACTGTTTTTCTGTCTCATATACACAGCCTGTCAGATCTTTTACGTTTTATCAAATTGCAATCTCAATGCTACTCAATACTGCAAAATAAAGCTAGGATACCTTTGCATTGGAGTCTTAATTCACCATATATGTGCATTTGCAGAGAGAATGCAGTGTATTAAAACAATGATGCAGATTGAGACACACATTCAACAATTTCACAACTTACTATGAATTCTGTTGCTAAAGTGTCTCCTTTTTACTTTGTGCCTTGTTGTGCAGAACCGTGGGCGCTTGGCTGAGAAACGTACCATCCCCCTGCCTCCTAACCGGGTGCCCAAGAAGGAGCTGGCCTCCATCTTCAGCAGTGACGACAGTGAAGGCAGTGAGCGGGCCAGTGGGGATCATGCCCACATCAAGCAGGAGGACGAGTTGCATTACAGTATCATGAGAAAGAGGTGAGACACCTATGACTTCTATAGCCACGGCTTAAATCTAGTTCAAGCATGTTAGATACCAGTTAATATCCCAGACTTTTTAGCTCTTTCTTTACTTCTTTGTGCGTGTAATTGCTTTTATTGCACCTAAAAATGCATAGGATGTGTAGTGAAGTCACTGCAGGAAGAAAATGTCATGCTAGCCTCTGAGGTGTTTCTTTTGTTAAAAATAATTAACAGTAATAAGTCCTCTGTTTTGTTTGCTTCTCTTCAGGAGAACTTTATTTTTAAAAAAGTGGCACCTTAGACGTGTGTGTAGTATTTCCATCAAAAGTGATTTCAGGATAATTTTGAGGTGTTAAAGGCACATTTTGTGACGAACAGACAAAAGAACCGTGTTTCAAAAATATACTCATGGCTTTTGCTTACGGAAGTCTAATGGATGGATGTGCTTTGAAAGTGTTAATTGGTTTGTTGATTTGCATTTTGTTGCTCCTGCCAAGTCTCAGTGTATCTGTCTTGACTTGATATTGAAAGACTGAATCACCTGAGTCACCGCACTGCTTCATCCCGTCCTGTGCTGTGCTTGGGAGCTTGATCGTAGAGCGTTTCATACAAAACATTCACATTCATCTTAAGTGTGAAGAACGTTTTGACATAGTTATGAAATACAGAGCCTCAGTATCTGCAATCATATTGAATGCGGAGTCCAGCATGTATCTATACACAGTCAGTATCTGGATCCTCTTCCTTCACACTGTAGTCACACTATAGTTGTTATTTTAATTAAACCAAGAGGAAAGCAAACTACTTAACAGGAATATTTTTAGTATTTTCAGTATATTTTCAGTATGTTATTTCTGAGGGTTGGCATCAAACCATGATAATAATAATAATAATACCACAAGTGGTATGTATTAGGAATACAGCTTAAATGTTTTCAGAAATGTCTGTGGTTTATTAGTGAAATCAAACATGTCGTATTTTAGTGTGAATCAGTTAATGGCTGTTTGACTAATTGTCAAAACTAAAAATTTCCACAATAATGGATGGAGAAGAGTGCTCAGTGTGTTGTATACACATTAGACTGGGTTTGTCATAAAAATGTGGACTACATTTACTAAAAGCCTGTTTGGATTCAAGTGATTAATCATGTTCACATCTTCAAACATGCAAACACACATGTGGGGTTATGGTCACCACAGCAACATAAACTAAAAAAAATAGGATTATAATTTAAAACATATACTTTCACAATAGGTACTTTGATGCATGTAATATGACAGAAATCAATACATTTGGAATCTGAAATAAACGTTACATGGATTTGCGATTACGTGATATGAACATGTACAGATTTGTATGATTCAGAAATCAGACAGACTGGACAGATATAATGCAGAAGCCGTTCATTGATTAACCTCTGAAAGTCCCCAGCTGCATTATAAGCAGCTTGTGCAACCTCATTACAGGAGGGGATGTTTTTCATGTCTTGAGACTTGCGTGTGACACGGCGGACAGCACAGCAACTGTGAAGCTTTAAATGGATCCACTAACCTCATTTAAGAGGGCTTCCCCTCCCCCGACACTTGTGCCGCTGGCGTGTTAAGATGATAATGAATTTAAAGAACACTTATGACTAATATGTCAGGCTTTTACCCTTTGAAAGGCGACGGACTCGCTGGAGCCGCAGCTCCGGTCTGTCCTGGGCATCCGTCTCAGCCCTGCTTTATCCCCCCAGTGTGGGTCTGGACGAACGGGATAATGGGATGTCCAATCACGGAAATGTGATTTCCATTGACCGCAGCTTCGTAAGTGAGTCGTAGAAGGGTCTTAACAAATTGGATTTGGCCAATGGATGTGAAAAATACAGGGCCTCTGTATACATGTGTGATGTATCTGTGCTGTCTCATCCACACATCATCAAGGCTGGCGGCAGCACTGTGTCACACCCACTTGGTTGCTGCAACCTGCCTACTGTAACTTGAATCTACATGGACACATCCAAGCAGCATGTGTCAATTATCCATTTTTTTTTATCCTAACATAATGTCTCATGCAGCAAATTAACTAAAGGGAGCATTGCATTAGGATATACTTTAGACTGATTTTTCCACTCCATTCTTGTTTTTCAGTGTATAGTTAATTATATATTATTAAAATTTCTGTAAAATTGAAGAGTAGATTGTTTGGTAAGTTAAAGTGGCTGTCTTCTGTGCAATAAGAGGATTTGTTTATCAGTGTCAACAAGTGTTGCCTTTATTCTCATCCGGACGGCTTCTCAGGTTCATTATAAACAGGTCAACCTTCTTTTAACCAGATTAATAGTTCCCTGCTTTACAGACAATTAGCTTACTTGGTGCTCCATAGATCTGAGCTCGTCCTGCTGAATAAGCACAGAGCATCTAGAGACTGAAGTGCAGCCAAGCCACGGAGCCGGCCAAATAATCATTATCACAATAAGGTGTGTACGGAAGCTCCTTGGGGTATAACAACTAAAGTTTCATGTGGCTCCTGTGAACCACTCAGGAAGTGAAATGTGGAAACAAAACCTAGTTTTGTTATCACCTCGGTATCAGTGCTGCAGATTGTTTGTATCTGACTTTGATTCGTTAACACTGATTTATGGATTTCATCTCAGGGACTAAATATTTGATGGCGGTAACTTATTTTAGTGTCTTACTCAAGGGCAAAACAAAGCCTACTGTAGCGTTTGTTTCAGTTGGCCGTAGATAACAAGGCTTTGATTGAAAAGTGCTGACTGAGAGTCTGGGTAATTACCCGGCAACCACCGTGGATTTTATAAGTTACACCCGCTGACGTCTGCCTTTCAGCCTGTGCCCTGTAGAAGAAGAAAAAAATCCACCATACCCATTATTAATGTTCACCAAAACAAACAAAAGCAGGTTCTCAGTTTTTCAATCAGACATGAGGCTATTTGCTACTCGATCACTTACATATGTAAATGCTTCCATCTACAAAAAATATATATTTGATATATGTATCAGTGCAGACTAGATTAAGAAGTAAGAGGGAGGTTTTCTTTCAACATAGTCGGACTGTCCGGGGGGCGAACACTGGGTCTCCTCATACAAGAGCCAGCCAGTCCTGTGCTCAACCAATCAGCAGGGAGTAAAGCTGATTGAGACGAGCAACATACTGAATTAAACATAACCCACTAACATCATCAGCATCTAATTGGTTTTGTACCAGTATTTCTGTCTTCAGCTGCAAGGTTCTAGCATAAGTCATTGTGGGCGTGATTTCGATAGACCTGATTACAGCCTTGAACTGTTGCCGTCTGCTTGACACGTTGTTTTTACCCCAGTGAAATCTTGAGGCAGTATGCGCTTTAGTGCTCATTGAGAGAAAACAGCAGAGCTGTTGTAGTGTTTGCTGCAGGTTCTAGTTGATAAGAGGCTGATAAGTGAAATTAGAAGCAAACAGAGGATCCTCAAGTACATAAACATTCAAACAAATTTCACATTACTACTTACTATCTCAGTGTTTTCTCAGTTTCCCTTTACAGCCCACATCTTTGTATGAGAATGGAACTTTTCATGGAGCAGCATGGCTCATATTTGTTAATGGAGATGCTGTATTCAATCTGTATCATAACCACAGAGAGTGAAAGACACTGATGCTGAGTTAGCTACTGTATGTCTATTGCATTTGACATTTTGTCCTCTGGCTTTATTGAACAACTGTGTCATTGCCTTATGCCAGTAAGAGGTCACGGACAGTGTGAAATTACTGGAAATGGCTCTCCCCTAAAGCACTAATTAGTGAGCTTGGAGGTTTTATAGCTTTCTAGAGGAGCTTTCCGCTTCAAGAATTTTTGGCCTTGTTTACAACGCGTTTACCATGGCGACAGAGTCACAGCAATTTAGTAGTTGATTGGGCGTTGGCTAGCAGCAAGACACTCATTGTTTTCACATGGAGCAGTATTTTGTCTATCAACTCCCTGTCAAAACACAGGATCAACAAAAAGATGGTCAACAGTGTTCCAGCAATTTAGTCTCAGATTTGGCATTGGCTTGAAGCGTGAGGTTCATCATTTCCACATGTAAAGAACACAGTGTTTACTATTCATGTGCTGTCATACAGTATGTTGACATCAGCTGAAGATAATAAGAGCTTTGGCCTCTCGTGCAGTACAACAGTGTGCTCTTTGAAATTTCTGCCCCCTGTAAATATAACGGATAATTGGCTTTTTCAATCAAAATGTTCCTTAAAACTAGAATTAGAAAAATAATTACAAGAAAAAGGATACAATTTAAAAAGGAGAAAGCTCCTAAAGTGTGAGCCAGAGGTGAAATTAACGGTGAAAACAGCACCATGTCCATGGCTCAGTGCAGGAGACCTTAAATGCAACATGGCGGACTTATCGTATATTCTATTTCCCCCTTACTTTTCTTTCCTCCCTTGGCTGCCTTATCGACCTCATGTCAGCTTGTACAGCAGAAGAACAACAAGGAGAAGTGAAGCCGGGCTACTCTTACTTATTTATGTATCTATTTCTGTATTTATTCATTACCCCCTCTGCTTGCAGGGTTCCCAGTTGCGGGTTGCCTTTCGAGCCAACTGTGAGCAGCATGACAATTGGGTTTCCGTTGCTCAAAGGATTCAGACATAATATAAAATGTATACGGAACCGATCCACATTTCTGCTTTAAAGCTTTATGTGTCCTAAAGTATAGGTAATTCCTAAATGAAAGACTTTTCCCTGTGGAACATCTGATAAAACTTAACTCATTCCCGCTTTTTCTCTGCATTTTGCCCAAGTCCATGCTATGCAGTGGTTGTTGAATATTACATATTGCCTGGTAGTATTTGAATGTTGCTGTGGGCCACCCGTGCAGGTTGGAGTAGGCTGTGTGTTGCCTTGAGAGCAGAGGAGAGCACACAATAAACCTGTGAGCACCAGATGTTACACAGCGCTTGCGACCTGTCTCTCTCGCTCTCTCTCTCTTTCTCCTCCTCCACTCCTCCACCTTCACATCCCTGCTGTCTGTCTGTCAGCACTTTCCCAGTGGTGGTGTGAGACATGGCGTCAGGGTGCCTGGGCCGCCAGCTTCTGCCAGCTCACACTGTGACCTCCAGCCCCGCCACCTCAGCTCCGCGTGCCAATGCCACAGCAGGCCACGACTGGGCATTTATACTGAGGTGACTCCCTGTGCCAGGAGAAGAGTCTCTTGATGTTGTTGAACATTTTGAATAGTAAGGTTTATTGTAATGGTAGAAGGGAACACAACCTTTTCTTAACAAAAGAAAGAGCCCCAACAACTGATCTGGCAGACATCAATTTTTGCTGGAACCCTGGACATTTTGTATGACATTTTTATTTCTTTTTTATGGAGACGCTTGATTCAGATATGCATAAAAATTTAAATTACTATGAGAATGTAGTAATTCTCCACATATTGTCATTTGGAGTAGTAGGGACTATGATAAGTGATCTGCTAAGTGATTAGTATATTTAAAATGCATAGACTAGAAGCATTGAAAGAAAACCGCAGTAGAAATTCTGCCTGGGCATTGCCAGAAATATGTCTGGAACATCAGGTATCCAAAAGTATAGTATAGAAAATAATTTGATCAGATATTTCCTGACCTAAATAAGGAACACTTAATAACTTTTCACAATATATTTGCTTGATTACTTATACACAATTTGCGGTATCATCTCAGTAATGTTGGATATCAGTAGTAAACTTAACAGGCTTTGAGTATTAACTCATATTAGTTATCCCAGTGTCTGGGTCAGTCTGTCTGTCCTGTTGCCAGGGATGACTATTGACCAGTTTGGGGATGAGCTGAGGATGAGATGATTGTCTCCGGCATGCACCTGGGTGATAAGAAGGCAGCTCATGTCCTTCTTAGCTATCAGACCCTCCACCCCGCACCCCCATCCCCCTCCCAATCGTCTCTGAGGCCCCCGTCCTTCCCAGCTAACCCCAGCCTTAGGAGCTCCTTAGGGAGCGCTGACTCAGGTGACTGGGTTTTAAACACCATCTCCACCCCCCTCTTCATTGTCCAGGGCTTGAGTATGACCTTGCCTCCACCCAGAGAAAGAGAGGGGGGGGGATGGAGGGGAGGACAGAGGTGGGTGGGGATAGGGCTAGGCCCTCATTAGACCAAGCCGAGGCGGGACAGCTCAGGAAAAGTGCGCTAATTACGCCACTAACAATGTCCTTGCCGTTCATGGCTTAGAGCGGCCACTTCGCCACAGGATAATAACCCCATCACCTCTCTGAGAAGTTCAGGATGGCATTATCATGATCACTTTAAATGATGGACAGAGGGTGGTGTTATAACGCAGCCAGTTGATTGATGGATTTGGCTGCAGTTTCTCATAGTGGAGTGTGTAACTGCAGTATGTGTAATGTGTGTTTTGTTGGAGTCACTGGGTGACGCAGATACATTATTATATGACTTTAAGCACAATTAAAAAAACCTTCCCTGCATCTAATTTACTTTTTGAAGGAAACCATTGAGCTCTCAGACACAGATAGCTACTAATTTTAGCAAGTTACACTCTGAAAAAGAAGTCTATCATTAGTCTAAAAAGTTTGCAGTCACAGTCCAATCAAGCGTCTCCTTGCTTAGCAACCAGTTGTAACTGTTTTGTCTGAGACTGTTTTCTGACTCATTGGTTCTCTGTGACTGAAAGGTGACTGGTGAAGCCAGCGATGGCCAGCATTAGGCCTATACGCTTTCCTTCATCTTTTCTGTTAGCGTGTGGAAAACAGCTTGGCGACCGACAGCCTGACATTACAGCAGGAGCCTGTAATCATGGGACTGTAAAAACCCAAATCCAGCAGCCACAAACAGTGTGGCCTCGTCATAGTGGTGGCAGCTAAGAACCATTCACCGCTTCTGTCCCATAAACTGTGCTTGCTGTGTCATACCAGACCCCCTTCATAGATGATTCTGCTTTCAATAAAGTTACCAGTTAAGCCTATAAACGAGATTCCTGCTGACACGAGAGGATGCCGATACCATCAAACTGACATGTCTAAATACTGCATGTTTTCAGGCTTATTTTGTGGATAAAATGACAGTGTGCATAAATGCTCCTCTTCTTTTGGGCTTTGGAACCTTCCTTGTAGCATATATGTCACAGTCCTTTAATGGTAAATGATATTTAGGCTGTAAGCTAAAAGATGTATACTATGCAACCCTGCACCTCTCCCACCACACAAGCTGTTTACCATTACTCTGTGACTACTCTCGTACTGCACGGCTGCTACACTCCCCTCAAACTCGAAGTGCCTATTTCCCATCATTATGCCATTTAATGCGATCAGGATGGTAATCAGATTGCAAATGAAATACCTCCATGACACAGTTGTGTGGGTCCATTGGTGTGGGGAGGTTAGAGAGGCGGCTGGTGGAGCATTTGGAAGGGCAGAGTGGCTCCAACCAGATCTGGGCCTAATCTGTAAACCCTCCTCCTGCTCTTCCATTGGCTGCTGAAGGGCAGGACAGGGTGTTTGAGGAGACTCTTGTGGACAGTTTAGTTGTGAAGGACCTCCTGTTGAAGTGTAGGCATGACAAGAGAAAAGAAGACCTTTTCTTTTAATAGCCAGTGTCATATACCACAGATCTATTGTGTTGTCTTTTAAATATTACATACCTAATAAGTAAGTAATTAGTTAAAACGTTTTTTTCAATCTTAAATATTCGTCATCTGTCTTCGCTCATTTTTCAATCGCCATATTTGTGTAAAACAGCTGGTGGCGGCCTGAATTTAAAAAGAGCCATAATCAGGTTTTAAGCTGCTAAACTACTTATGAGTTGTGAATATGTTCGTTAATGCATCTTAGTGTGGAAGATGAGTAGGGATGAGACCCAAAAGTGCTGGATGCGGTAGTCTGTCAGAGGTTATTACACACCTCAGAGCTAAGAGCCAGTTGACAGGACAGCCACTTGTAGCTGCTGAGTCTGTGTGGAGGTATGCATTTTAGAGGGGATAGTGCTGTCTGGATGGAGGATTTCTGTGGTAAGCAGTGTGTGAAATAGTATGAATTTATGCGCTGCCGCTTTATCCCATACAGTACTGGTTTGGATTGTGTTGTGGAGTTAAGTTTGTTCGGGGCTTCTTTTAAATGTGTTTATCCTCTCTTTCCTGTGTGTGTGTGTGTGTGTGTGTATTACAGTCGTGACAGTGACCTCTCTACAATCATCTCCAACCTGCACCACACCAGACAGCACGGCATGCCCGAGGGCCAGTCAGCCTCTGACCACAACTCCAGCACTGGACACACAGGTAGGACCCCCAGTGATACTCTCTGTGTGTGTATGTGTGTGTATGTGTGTTTAAAGTTTTGTCAGGATGTATTCCCTTTTTCTCTGTCCTTTTTCATCTCTTTGTCTCTTTCTTCCTTTGCATCCAGGCTGATGATATATGCCCTGATATATCTCCTGTAACATATGTAAACCCATTTAATTTACCCTAATTTGTGTGATTGGGGGAATTTAACGTAAGCTTATTACTCATTCCTGAAGGTCGCTCTCAAGTTGATTACTTAATGTTCTTCCCACATTCTCTGCCGCACTCCAGGATTTTTGTTAAACCCCCTGTTTTAAATTACCTCTGAATAAATAGCTTTGTTTGCCATTAATCCAGTTTCATGTGAGCAAAGGAACCATGGTGTGCGTATGCTAAGAGCTTTTTCTTACAGCTTACAGACAGAACACAGACAACATTTAATCACAGCTATTTGTCAAGTAGCTTGTATGGGGATAATGTGCAGCCATCAAAGACATATGTTTGTAAAACAGCCTCTGTAGATATCAGTATTCAGCGATCAACCTACTATACTGGATGTTTGATGGTTAGTCGTACTCATTTTCGTGACACATGATTGTATAGTGTTCTGTATCTCAACAAGTTATGATTAAAGACAACAATGCAACACCAGAAACCCAAACTTTGCATTGTCAACACATTATTATATTTTTGCATATTAAAAATGTAAAATCTTTAACCGTTTTAACACTCAGGTCCTGAGTTTTGTTGACGACTCTGAACTCTGTCTCAACTTTGACTGTGGGAGTGATTTTACAATATGTTTCACTGTTGTAGCAGGCTCTTATATTATTTATTCCAATGTTTGTGAGGTTGTGTTTTCTCAGTGCTCTCAGTTTACTATGAATTATAGTAAATACAATGTATCAATATCAATGTAAAGTATTATAATAATAGTTATAAATGTTCTATGCTGACCTGTGCCTTCAGGAAAAACATTTATCTAAAATTTTGATAATGACAAGAGAATTAGCTGAATTTAATACATTCCATCAGCAAATCCAAACAAATACATTTACCCATAATTAACGAATGAGTTGTCTTTTTAACAGTAAAGATCATACCTTTGCTCCACGGTTTGACCCTGTCCCTTCTTATACCATTAGCCAGAGGCACAGCGAGTGCCATAATCAACCCACACTCAACACCTCCATACCCTCTCTCTCTGTGTGCTCATCTCCTCTGTCTGCCAGATTAATTGTCCATACGGTGCCCGTGATATCAGCCAGGGTGGGTGGAAGGTGGGGGGTATTAGACTGCTCAACAGCCAGCCCGGCCAGTGTCTTAAACCCCGGTTTGGCACGGATTTCCGCCCAAATACCGGCCTAATCAGCCGCTAAACTTAATGGAGAAATCAGAGCCCTGAGTAGTTATCTTAATGGAGGACGACACAAGGGGATAAAGGTGGGTGGGTGTTGGTTGATGGAGGAAGGGGTGAGCACAGTGTGGCCAAAGCCAGAGGGGGGTCCAAGGTCCTAAAATCTGTACGTTTGACCATTAAAGGGAGATTTAACAGGCTGCCTAAGCGGCTCGCTCCGTGTCTGTAAACAAGTCCAATCCGATCAGCCACCGGCTCTAATTCTGTCTGCCAGTGAAATTAGACGCATACACGTTCACAAACACACAATTACACACAAATGACACATAGTTATACAGATGCATGCCCACGCAAAATCAACACAGGTTCAAATTTGTGTCCAAATACATAGGTGGGTGTACGAAGGTTCAGAGCGGTGGATTACTTGAGTTATGAAACGGATGAGACGGTTAACACAGCTCTCTGTCTATGATATTGCATTCACTCCGTCAGTCAGCTCTGCTTATTTGACTTATCCTCCAAAAGAGAGGGAGAGACAGGGAGTTAGACATGAGAGAAATTAAGGAAAGGCTGCAACAGAGAGGCGGAGATGCAGTGATGGAAGAAACATTTGGAAATACAGAGACAGAGGAAAGAGAGATGAATGAGTGCGGTGGTGGTATCAGGGGAGGGCAGGCGGCAGCTATGGCGGCGGACGGCTGTGTGTGTTTGTGTGTGTGTGTGGGTCAGGAGGAAAGGGAAGCAGGCTTGCCGGGTCGTCTATGCGCCGGAGTGGGCCGTTAATTAAATCTGAGGGACAGACAGGAGGGCTGCCTCCCTCCTTCTCTTCTCCACTCCCTCCCTCAGTCGCTCGCTTGCTCCCCAGCCGCTGGCTATTCGGAGGCTCTGTGAGAGGTGGAGGGGAAGGAGGAGGGAGGGGGAGAGCAGGGGCGCCGACGCTGAGAGTCTGGCTGCCTGTGGAGACTGTAAACCGTGGCTCTGCGGTCAGACCGGAGACTCAAACAGGCAGATAAGGTGTTTTTGGACCGCCACTCTCTCTCTCCTTTGCTCCCTGCACTCAGTCTCCCAGAGGCAGTTACAGCCTGTCGGTGTGTGTGTGGTTGGGGGTTGTAGCAGTGGTTTGGGGCTTCAGCACATTTTTGTGTGTGTGTGTGTGTGTGTGTGTGTGTTTGAGTGTGTGCACCTTTTTGTGTGTGGTTTTAAATGCCTGGTTTTAGATGTTTGCTTGCGTGTGAATCTACAGCCAAGCGTGTTTGTGCAAGACCTTTTTTTCAAACTGATGTGGTGAGAATTGCTTTTAAAGTATTACCAGCTAGTTATTACATGATTAGCACAGAAAGGCACTTCTAAACAAAAGTAAACACTCAAGGATTTCTGATGATATTAGCTCTGTCATACAGAAGCAAAAAGGGAAATGGGGGTTGTTTTTTAAACCCATTGCTTAATAGGTATGTAATTGTGTGGCCATAACAAAATGGCTTCTCTGTCTTATTATTCATAAAAAAAAAACATGCTAATGCATTTGTCAAGAGATGAAATTCACTGGTGACTGATAATGATAAAATAAACAGTGAAAATAAGCCCTTAAAGGTCCAGAGTGGACAGTTGCAGATTGCATCTTCCTTGCTTTACCCTCCCCTTCCAAGCAAGAAGGAGAAACTACAGTGGCCACGAAATGTATGAATGGTTCTATCTACAGCCAGTGTTTGGTTTGTCCGTTCTGGGCTACTGTAGAAACATGGTGGTTCAACATGGCAGCCTCTATGGAGAGGGACCCATGGCGTCTGTAGATGTAAAAGGCTAATTTAAAAGGCTTATTTTCAGGTGATTAT